GCAATCTTGAAAAGAAAAAAAGAATTGAGAAAATGGAATTTGCCCAAAAATTTTTGTCCCATCTTGTTCACTTTTTGAAATCATTTAAATTACACATAAAAATGTTCTCGTACCACAGCTACAGAAGATAATTAGATGACCCATTCCGTAGATTCGCGAGGAAGCTAATTGTAAATTTGTAAAATTGCATAAGAGCTACGTTTAATAATCGGACAATGTTATAAAAGGTTGAAAATTTCCTACCTTTATCACACCATCTACTCTCCTCCGTCTTTTCCCTTGTTACTACTGCACTATTAACCGAAGTATCAAACGAAAGAACGATGTTCCTAAGTAACCTCTAATAGGCTCGCTACCTCCTTCGTTTGAAACCGGTAAAACACTGATTTCCACGGGAGAAAAAATCGCCGCCGGTGGTTTCACGGCAGGGCTCATTATGTGACACGTACAGAAAGTCCGTATATTCCTTAGGAACGGTCTGCGCGAGTCGTAAACTCATGAAGTCTCAAAATTACTGACCAGGAAATTGCTCCTCCGTGCCCGTCGCGGCTCTAAACGAAAAAATTTAATTTCCAAAACGTAAATAGCCGCGTCCGTGTCGGCTTTACGACTCCGTTCGTTCGCACACCAAGCAGTTTTCCCGCGAACCTTCTCCCTCTGTGTGTCCAACACAGCAGAAATTAGAAATTGAATTTCTACCCCGTTGGATTCCACGGAATTGCTGATAATTATCGAAATCGTGTTGTTCCGTACGGCGGGAAACTTCTGCTTCGTTGCAGCATCGTTCTCGATTACACAACGGAGGACGTAAAAAGAGTGGAGAAACGTTTCACGACCGAATTTGTGGATCAACGACGCCCGGAATCGACGATACACACGCTGCAGATGTAAAAGGTGTGTACATTCGTGAATGGAGAGAGAGAGAGAGAGTCGGTAATCGTGTTCGATACGAGAAAAATGCAACGATACAACGTTTCACTCGAACGTGTGTTCGTCCGCCATTTTTCCGGCTCCGCGGTCGTGTAAAGTTTCCCTCGAGCGACGCCATATGCTCGAGATATTATTATTAGTTTAGTTCAGCAGCGTTCTTCTTGTCAGAATAGAGAGAAGGGAGGGATGGCGCGAGGATATGGGAGTGTGTACAAGGGTAGGGAAAAAGCAACGCAAAACGGGTGAAAAATATTTTTCCAACTTTCGTTGCCACGTTTCGCCCCGTGAACCACTGCGTCACACACTTTTCGACACACCATGCTCGGCCGATTTACTTTTTCTCCTGCACCAACCAACCAACCCCCGCGAGTGCGCGAAAAAATGTACAAATTTTTCCTACACGCCTCCGCTGGAAAGTTTTTTAATATCCTGCCGCATCTCTCGTGTGTCGCGGGTATTAGCACGGGGAATACGTTTCTCGCTAGTCGTTTTAAAAAAATCAAGGGGAGGAGGAAGGGCGATATTAAAAGGATTACTCACCACGGATAGTCCCTTCTCGATCAGCAGACACATCACAATTGGCACATTCGAATCTGTAACAGAAAGAGAGAGAGAGAAGATCATTCAACGATCGGTACAAGTGAACAAACGAGAACGAACGAAGGGATGAACAAATGAATTTCGGACAATACCACTTGTTCGATGCCTCGTTCCGTACGTTGTCTCTGCGTTTTTTTTCCTCTCCCCCGAAATGACAAACTTCGAAAGGGTCAGTCACCCAGCGCAGCGGTCCCGTCCTCTGCAACGAACTGCAGACAGCAAGTGACGAGTGTCTGTCACACGATGTGACGTTCCAGAGGCAATCGAAAGAGAATGGCAAGGGAGAGAAACGGAGAAAAAGGGGGGCGATTGAAGAGAAAGAGTGGCGCGTGTGGCGAAGGCTGTACAGCGAGGATAAACGTTACTGGTGATCGAGAGCCTCGCTCGAATGGGGTTCGAAGGGATAACACACAGAGGCGAACGTGCACATTGGAAGACACATGTACATCGACGACATCCAGAGAGAGAGAGAGAGAGGAAAAAAGAAAGAGGGGAAAACCCGATATCGAGCTAGCAGCGACGAAAGCAACTCACCGATAAATCAGCCAAAATAGCACTCGCTACAAAACGGAAGCTCGATTGAACGTCGTGTACCTACGAGTTAACGGGAAGGACCAAGGCCGTGGGGAACGTTAACGATCTCTGGCGTACCTTCTATGGTTTCGCAAACAATGGAGACAGAAGTTTCGGTTAACGTGTACCGTTTCAAATAGTAGCGTTGCGTTTTTTTTTTCTCGAATTTTAGAGGTGGGTAGAGCGATGAAAAATCTTGGAGAGAGACATTAGTGGAGATAATATTGGGAAGTACGGAAACGGACGATAAAATATAGAACATCAAAAATAAACGTCGAAATTTGGATATTTTTAGCATGGAAGATGAAATAAAAAATTTACAATAGCTGTTGGAATTTCAAACTTCTTAAAACGTATGTTAAAATTAAAAAAATATAAAATAGACCTTAGGATTTGAATTTGTGGAGACAGATGTTGATACACAAAAATTCCGAATAGTCTTTACGATATGAATTTTTGTAAGGAGACATTAATATCAAAAAGTTTAAAAATAGCAGGCAAAATTTGGAGAGAATAATATAATACACTGTTTACTTAGTATTAGTACGAAATATAGCGTAAACGTAGCTAAGGGAAAGATACGTAAAGAATTACAGAAGATGGTATTACAATTCCACGAATGTCTGACCAATAACGAACCTAGACTACTGAATTCAGGCTTCACCCCTTGTGTTCTTCGCTCAAGAAGAACGTTCCTTCTTCAGCCGCACAATTCGCAAATTTTCAATCCTGCCACTACCTTCTCCCTTTACTCCACCTACTTTCACATCCCTCCACGCCTTTTCCATCCGCGCAATCATGCTTTTATCACACCATAAGCTTCTCGAGATAAAGTAAAACCGAAGGATCTATCGGAATAAGTTGAATTTTACTGAGAATTACCAAGGTGCCGTAAGAAAATTCTTTATAGAGGAGAAACAACAGTGGCGCGGAATATTCGAAAAATTGGAATTCCTTTTTTTGAGAATTCGAGAAAAGATACGAGCGCGGAAACGAGTCGCGATCGGGACGTCGGTAAAATATGAATTCTATCCCGCGGTTCGTTCCTTTCTTATTATTCCATAAGCTGTTTTCAAGAGTCGACCGAGCCAAAACACTTGGGTAGATTATGCTAGATTCGACGCAGACGAGCGTGATACCGCAGGTACGTACGTACGATTTCATTTCGAGCGGTTCGTCCTCTCATATTCCTGCAAGTATCGTCCGCGGCCGTGCATAAAATATGGCGAAACTTAAATAAGTTTAAGAGATGCAACCGTACGATAGGCGCGCCAGCAAAATTGAGAGCCTCCGTTGGAAACAGGTCACGGACCTCGAACACACAAAACGCTTCAGAAAGGAAACGCTCCTCGGGCGCTACGAGGATATCAGCGTAAATTAAACTACGACGTTTTAATTATCACGAAGGATTATTCTTCGGATGGCTTATCTATTCCGCGAAACTCGTACAACAACGCCGGATCGATAATTAAGGAATATCGTACGACATCGAGGGAAAAAGTATGCGATTGCACGAGCGTGTCCCATAGATTATTTACTCGAACTACTTTCGAACGAAGAGTATCGGTCAGATTTATCGACGTACACGTTACGGAAGAAGATCGACTAGATGATTAAAAACGAATTAAGAGCAATTAGAGTTTCTCTCGGGGACGAAACAAGTACAACCCTAAGGTAGCGTCGAATTCACCGATATTTCACCGGTGATTCGCGACGTTGACGCGATATCAACGATCGAATTCACGCGAGAACTAACAGCGAACGTCACTCCTTTGACGTTCGAAAATTGAAAGAGCATATCACGGACGTGTACGAAGGACGGGTAATATCTCCAGTTGAAACTTTCGTCAATTTCCGATTAGTCATCTGTACAGCGATCGAAATTCCGCTCCGCCTCTGCTTTTCCGCCGCTATCTCTCTTCCATCTCTGTCCATCTGTATTTTATTCTATTATTAACAGACAGCCAGATAGAACCACCCCTCCTCCCCCGGTATCTTTCCATATAATCTGCAAATACTTCGTTACATATTTTTTCCGACAAACAATCACCGAACCTCGTTATCCCAGGTGGAAATTTTTGTTTGATTAAAATATTTGCGCGTGCGGTTACCTTGGTCGCCGGCCGTTAATTTTTCAAATCAACTGCGCGTTTTCGAATCGATTCTCATGCTACGAACGTGGAAACCTTCGCTCCGGTACCCTCGGTGAAACCGGGAAAAAAAAAATCGCAAAAATTCGTTCGACAGATCTAATACGCGTAAAACCTTTCCGCTCGTCGATATTTAATCCGAATACGAACGTGGGGAATTCCCCGTCATCGCGTCAAATGTTTCGTTAATAGACGTTACTAGAGGGGGCGTTTCCGTTGAAAAGAAATTCGAGGCTCGCTCGTTCGACTCTCACAAAGCAGCGAACAGTGAGCGTAGGAAACACAAAAAAAAAGAGGGAGAGAGAGAGAGAGAGAGAGGGCGGGAAAAAAGGCAGAGAGAGGCCACGATTGTTTCACCATGGCCGACACGTGTTCACGTCGACTAATTACGAGCTCTTTGAATTCGAACGCGTTTTACGAGTTTCCAGCATTTTTCTGGCCCGTAGCAGGCCGCCGCCGCGCGATTCGAACACACTCGCGTTTTCATCCGGCGCTGAATTACGCGCACGTGCGCGGCCCGCCGCGAACGAAGCAAGACAAATAGACTTGATCGGCGAACCAAATGCGTTTGCATTAAGCCACCGGGTAGAGCGGTGAAAAAGTTCGTTAATAATAGAATCGTCGATTAATTCAATAAATAACACGTTCACGTGTTTCGGTATATTTCATTCGCCGAGGATAGAAAAAAGCCACGGGACAGAGTAGTCTCGCTGGGAATACATACATATATTTCTTTTTCAAACGAGGTTCGTTATATTCGTTGAAATTATCACGAGTGCGCTTCACTCGGATAAATCTGCCATTGTTTCCTACGCTGCCTCTCTCTCTCTCTCTCTTTCTTTCTTCCACTATGGCATAAATTATACTTTTCGAAAACCAAACGTCAGAGAATCTTCTCTGCCTTTCTCCCTTTATGTGTCCTTATCTCTGTGAAGCAGGTAGATAATGGTAAGTGGGTATATATCGGTGGTAACGAATGAATTTTTCACGTTCGATCTGTAGAATTTAGTCCGAAAATTCCGTATGCCAGTTCGGTGTATTCCACCGTGAAAGAACTTCTTCCATTGTCACAACTGAAGCTTAATAACGTGATCTAGTGACGGCTTTATTCGATAATGCACGAAAATTTCTGATCCACTGATTGTATTATATCGATGAAATGTCATTTCGACTTGTCGAGCTTTCTCGGGACAAACGATTCCTTATATCTCAGAGTGTGATGGAGTGACTAGTATCAACTGGGATACTCGTGATCTTCGAATCTTCTCGAGAGTGATTTTAAAATGAAATTTAATGCTCCGACCTAATCTTATTTTGTCTCTTTTAACCCTTTCTTTTCCTGATTATGCATCTAAGCGTCGGCTATTTGCCGTTTCATTACTACATTAAGTAAGAAAAGATGTATTATAGATTAAATTTGGCAATCTTCAGTTTTACAAATTAAATGGAAAATTGAAATTAAAATGAATTTTTCTTACCGATGTAACTGTTTTTATCTGACTGGTTATTACACGTCAAAGGGTTAAAGAAGATACCAGTAAATGTTAAGTCTTAGCAGACGAAATAACCGAGTTAATGAGACTTTCAACTTTTGCAATTTTAATAAAAATAATATTTATCGAACCGGTTCCGATGCTCTCCAAATCTTCGGCAATCAGTCACAACCGGAAATCTTCCGCTTTGGCGAATAAAGGGAAGAGTAACGTCGATAGGGGGGAGTGTATTTATATGGACAGTGAACGGAGCGAATTAAACGGAAAAATAGCTTCCGATGAGAGGTGTAGGAAACAAAAATACACGAATCGTGGCTCGACGTGATGTAGAACGTTTCCACGAATTCCACGTATTTGCATAACACGCTCGTATCGAATTTGCGTCGCGTTTCGCATAATTGAGTCGCGATGCGCGTGCACACAGTTTTTTCTTTGATCCGTTCGACGATTTTATTTGAAGCACACGCTACGAGAGAGGACAGAAGTGGGTGTAGACGGGAAAAAAAAAACGTTCCAAGCTTGTAGGGTCCCATTTACACGACCGAAACGCGTCAAATATGTCGACGATACACCCCGGAATACGGAGCCGATTAAATGTAGGGGGAAATTGGTTACATATTCCGCGCGGTACACGCGTGTGTTTACGCGTGCAATTTCGCGGCGACACTTTGGTTTTCACGCCGTAACACAGGCCGTGATAAAATCAAATTTTATACCCGCTGGGAAAAATCTGGCCGCGTAAACAGCCCCGCCGCTCTGTTATTTTAATGAATAATT